TGTAGCTCGGGGTTACCGCTTTTGGTACTGAAATGTTACCCCGAGCTACACTCGGGAAATACCGCCAAGGAGGTTAAGGTGTCCCCTTGTGCTGCAGTTTGATCCTGTCTTCTCTGATCCTCCCCTTCTTCTACTATCCACAATCCATCTGCTGATAGGACAGAGCTCTAGGAGTCACTCTGCACAAGCTCAGTTTGGTGTATATGGCTAGAGGTTTTTTTTGGATTTTTTTTGTGGGAAGCTGCATGTGATCAGCACAGGGCCAATCACTGGCACTCTGCAGACAGAAGGTCAGGGGTTATGCAGCCTCATAGGACAGTCAGAGGAGAATGAAAACTCCTCCTACAAGTTGTAACCAGTGCTCAGCTGGACACTGATAGAAGTTACAAGACTGCTAAATACTGCTGATGGGAAAAGGTATTTATCAGTTTATTTTTACTAAAATAATGTCATTTCCTTGTTGTGTGTACTGTGGGAGAGCAGACAGAGTGAATGCAGGGTCTGGGGTTTAGTAACACTAAGAATGGGATTCTTCATCTTGAGTGTTGGTGCAACAAAATGCTCAGGCACGAATGGGAGGGGGTAGAATCGAATCTTCTATGCGCTGCCTTAGTGATTTACATTCATGTCCAAAATATATTCATATTCATGGATTTAAACCAAAGGGATGGGCTAGACTGGTGAATAGGAAAGCTACGGCTTAATTTTTTCAATTATTGCTGTATAACCATCCCGCCCCCATAAGCAAAGGAAAACAGGTAACTCTTTATTATACTTTCCTCCCTCCTTAGTGAACAGCATATAAATGTGATGCAAGTTCTGAAAAAAATGAAACTTATTAATTTCTTTATGAAATATAGTTTTCGCTTCGGGCGATGTAAAACAGTATAAAAATACATCAAAGACATGAATCACAAAGCTTAATTAACAACGGAAAGTCACATTTCCAAGACCGCCAGTATGTAGAAGAATGAATGCAGTGTGGCTGGATTAAGCAGGAAAGTTACCTAACGGAAGTCCAAGTCAAGTTTTGTCTAATGAGGACAGAAGGACAGACTCCAGAAAAGGACAGTCTACAATGAAGTTCACCTTTATGACATTTTCTGTGTGGAAAATTCATTGTGAATTCTTGATTTTTTTAAAGTATATCTAAAGCCATTTTTATATTTGGATAAAGTGGGGAAAGGCTTAACCCCCCCCCCTTTTTTTTTAAGTTTGTGTCTCATTGGGGAGATTTCTCATCACTTTCTGTCCAAGAGGCACAACGAAGGGTGACAATCTCTCCAAAATCAGGAGAATCCCCTCTTCAACAGCTGTCACCTGAACAGGTCTCTCAATTGCAAATTACCATAACTTATTATTATTATACAGGGTCTATATGGCGCCAACAGTTTGCTCAGTGCTTTACAATATAACGGGAGACAATACAGCAACAATACAGTTCAATACAAGAGGGAGAGGAGGGCCCTGATCCTTGGAGCTTACAATCTAAGAGGGAGGGGCTAGTGGTACAAAAGGTAATAACTGTGGGGGATGGACTGGTAGGAGGAATAGAAGATTCCATCATTAGCTGAAGGCAGGATAGGCTTCCCTGAAGAGATAGGTTTTCAGAGAGCGTCTAAAAGTGAGCAAAGTAGGCGATAGTCTGATAAATTGGGGTAGAGAGTTCCAGAGGATGGGGTAAGCTCTGGAGAAGTCCTGGAGACGAGCATGTAACATTGTACTACTTTGGGGAAGTGATCATCAGTTTTTTTTTTTTTTTTTTTTTTACACAATTTGCTTATAGCAAAGAATTACTTTGCTATAAGCAAGCATTTACCTGAATGACAGATTCATTCAGGGTTTTTTTTTTTTTGTGCTTAGCTGTGATTTGGCCACAGCTAATCACATGACATGGGCATGTGATTAGCTGTGACCATTCACAGCTAGACACTAGTATACAATGGATGGCATGAATGAAGCCATCCATTGTATACAACTGTCATGTGACCTGCTGTGATTGGTCACAACAGGTCACATGGTACCGGCAACGGGGGCCGGTACTCAGATCTGTCATCGGCCGTGTCCGAGGTACACGGCCGGTGACAGATCGTGCCGCTGCGTGGCTCTGCAAGCGCGCAAACTGCGCATGTGTGGGAGGACACCATATGGCGGCCTCCCGGAAAGGTAATGCATTTTTGCGGACGCCATTTGGCCATAGGCCGGTGCATCGAATGGTTAAAGACAAGGTTGGTGATGTAATTTGGGGCAGAGTTATAAATGGCTTTATATGTTATTGTTAATGTTTTGAATTTTATCCGTTGGGCAATGGGAAGCCAGTGGAGAGATTGGCAGAGAGAGGGTGGCAGATACAGAACGGTTAGTAAGGTGCATGAGTCTGGCAGCAGCATTCATGATAGACTGAAGAGGGGATAGCCTGTGATGAGGTAGGCCAAGGAGGAGGGAGTTACAATAGTCAAGGCGAGTTAACAAGGGATGTCAGTCTGAATGGGTGGGGTGTTTCTAAGTATTTGCATGTAGACCACCCCATGTAACACCCACATGTGATGTTGATCCCTCCATGACTGAAAGAACAGAAATCCAATGAATGAAAACGGGTAGGCCAGGGACATTCAGGAAGGGGAGGAAAGAACTAGATGATGCCGGATGTCCTCCAGCCAAAAAATGAGGCAGACTCTTGCTGTAGCTTCTAATGCACACTGAAAAAATCACAGTGTGCAGTGAAATGAAAGTAAGCAATTTCAGTAGAGGAGACCAGAAGATAGTGGGATTTTAAACTGCGCTGAAAACCTCCCTTCAGAAACAAGACTCATAAAAAAAACTTTGTATACAAAAGTAACTTTTATTACAAGAATTGTAAAATATCTCGCGGTGTGATCCCCTTAAAATATACATCTATAAAGTAAGTCGCTCAGCCACCCCTGCCAACCAACATCATTTCCCCTCGCATAATATAACCCATATAATGAGTGACAAAAGCAAACCGATAAATGATGGGGGGGGGGGGGGGGGAACCTAAGGATTATGTAAAAGATATTGTCCCAACACGTTGCGTATATAGCTTCTTCAGGGGTTCAAGGGGTGCAGGTAGCTGTGGCTGTGTTTTTGGGATGAAGAGTCGAGTTAGTCAAAAGGACCCACTGTTATTTAAATTTCAGTAGAAGAGAGGATGACTGAAGGGATGGATGGATGGGTGGATGGATGGATGGCTTACAGCTTTTAATAACATTGTGCTATGAAAATACTTTAATTGCCTTTGTTTATTCATTATATATCAGCATCTTATAAATAGGTCTAGTAAAGCCCAACGCTGGAGAACTTGGAAATTCTCCCTTACAGTAGGGTAGCTCTGCACTGCAAGGGTTAATTGCTCTTTTACGCCTGGAGGGGCATAGAAAAGATTTCCTCACCCGATACTTGATGCTGCTAGACCATTCCCCCACAGCATCTTCTCTGCTATGCTCCAGTGGTCTGACATCATCAAGACCAGTAGCCTCCAAACTGTGGCCCGAGGGCCAGATGCAACCCTTTGCTTGCTTTTATCTGGGCCTTGGGGCACTATTTCATCCTCTGATACAAACAATGGGGCATAATTCCCCCCACTGACACCAATGATGGGGCACAATTCCTTTTGATATCAATGACAGGGCACAATTTCTCCCAATGGCACCAACAATGGGGTCCACTGACACCAATGATGGGGCATAATTTCCCTACTGACACCAATGATGGGGCACAATTCCTCTTGATATCAATGGGGCACAATTTTCCCAATTACACCCAATGGGCCCATGACACCAATGATGGGGCATAATTTCCCCTACTGACACAAATGATGGGATACTATTTCCATATGACACCAAATGGGGGCACAATTCCTCCCGCTTATGATGGGTCACAATTTTTCCCAACGACAACAACAATGGGGCCCAATGACATTGCTGACGGGGCACAATTCCTCTCATGGACACCAATAATGTGGCACAATTCCTCCCACTGGCACCGATGATGTGGCACAATTCCTCCCACTGACACCAATGATGGGCACAATTCCACTTGATGTCAATGATGGGGCACAATTTCTCCCAATGACACCAACAACGGGGCCCACTGATACCAATGATGGGCATAATTTCCCCACTGACACAATGATGATGACACTAATTATAATTTCCCCCTATTTTTCCCTGACACAACAATGGGGCCCAATGGACATTGCTGACAGGGCAAAATTCCTCTCATTGACACAATAATGTGGCCTCCTATGACACCAATGATAATGATGTCAATGGGGCACAATTCCAATGACACCCAATGACACCAATGAAGGGGCTAACTGACACAAATGATGGGTCACAATTTTTTTCCCAATGACACCAACAATGGGGCCCAATGACATTGCTGACGGGGCACAATTCCTCTCACTGACACCAATGATGAGGCACAATTCCTCCCACTGACACCAAAGATAGGGCATTGTTTTTGCTCCACTGACAGTTCGTCCCCCCTAAAGTCTGAAGGGCAGTAAACTGGCCCTTTGTCTAGAAAGTTTGGAGACCCCTGACCAAGGCTAATGCAAGGTCCATAGCCCTGTATAGCCACAGTGACAGTGCACCGCTGAAGCATGGGAGAGTGAATGATCAGGTAAATGAAATGGTTTTGACTCTCCCCTAAAGGAGAAATTAACCCTTGTAGTGCAAGCGCAGCCCCACAGCAAGGGTGAATTTTCAGATATCCCGGAGTTGGGCCAAGGTAAAACCGTAACATGTCCCTAAAACATTTCTTAAAACACATTTTATTAAATTTAGTAATTAACCGCTTGCCCGCTGTCCTATAGCAGAAATACTGCTACGGGGCGGCAGGGGTGTGCAAAGCCACATAATATATATATATATATATATATATATATATATATATATATATATATGTAATGTATGTATGTGATTTTGCATTTCTGGGTGGGTAGGGGGCAGGTGCGAGCTGCGCATTTGCACTACCCGCTCTGCCAATCGCTGCCTCGGCTGTCAATCACCGGGTCCCGGCCGGTGATTACTTGGCGGCACCCGGTGATCACCAAGTATTACCGACGGGGGAGAGAACTGTATGTAAACAATGCAGTTCTTTCCCCTGTCAGCTCCTGTACACTGCTTTGTATGGCTTTGCATAGCAGAGCCATACAAAGCAGTATGCTTACAGTGGAAAGCACATACACAGCCTCATAGTAAAAACACACACAACACACAGTTAACCCTTTGATCGCCCAGATGTTAACCCCTTCCTGCCCAGTGCCATTAGTACAGTGTCAGTGCTTTTTATTGGCACTGATCACTGTATTGGTGTCACTGGGGATGTCAGTGACACCAAGTCAGTTCCCCCCAGTGTCAGAATGCCCACCACAGTCCCGCTATAAGTCGCTAATCGCTGCCATTACTAGTATCTATAAAAAATTCCTGTATCTATACCGCCATTTGTAAACACTATAACTTTCACATAAACCAATTAATTTACACGTATTGGGATTTTTTTTTTAGCAAAGACATGTCGAAGAATACATTTTGCCCTAAAATTATGACTACATTTGATTTTTTTACTTTTTTATTGGATGTGTTTAATAGGAAAAAGTCAAAAATATTTTTTTTTTTCTCAAAATTGTTGGTTTTTTTTGTTTATAGCGCAAAAAATAAAAACCGCATAGGTGATGAAATACCACCGTAAAAAAGCTCTATTTGTGGGAAAAAAGGACGTAAATTTCATTTGGGTGCAGCGTTGCATGACCGCGCAATTGTCAGTTAAAGTAATGCAGCGCCGTATCGCAAAAAATGGCCTGGTCAGGAAGGGGGGTAAATCCTCTGGAGGGCAAGTGGTTAACATAGTACAGATGACTACTGAATTGCCATCTTTAAAAGTTCAAGGCGTATTCAATATAAAGCGCAAAGCCCTTTAACTGCAACATGCAGCACCCATACCAATCAGAATGCAGCTTGCACTGGTCTGGTTTTAACAAAATTAATTCTTATTGGTTGCAGAGGGTTACTGCAATTGGAGCAACACACTACTGAGTGGATAAAGTCAACCATTCTTTGAACCCAAAGGAAAGAGTTAACTTTGAACTATGAAGATAGCTTTGGGGAAATCGTGTTAATGCCTTGTGGGAGGTAAAAGAAGCCCGTGTTTTATTTTTCTTATTAGAGGAATGGGATACTACAGTTATGAGTCACCAGTAACCCGAGGGCGAGTCACAATCACACCGAGGGAAGTTATGCAACAAAGAATATATTTATATTACTAATGTATTAACTGTACAATTATCTCCATTTTTCACAGAACGAGAGGACTAATTAGATCTGAGAAATGATGCCGATTTTCCATCATTGCTACAGCACATTTGTAAATAAATTGCAAATTACCGATGATAACCAATTACATAGTCCTGAATGCCAGCTAAATACACAGGACGCTGTAACCTGCAATCCAAAGAAAGAATGTATTCCAAGAATATATACAGTCATGGCCGAAATTGTTGGCACCCTTGATATTCTCCAGGAAATCATGTATTTCTCACGAAACGTATTGCATTAACACATGTTTTGCTATACACATGTTTATTCCCTTTGTGTGTATTGGGACAAAACAAAAAAAGGGAGGAAAGAAAGCAAATTCGACATAATGTCACACAAACCTCCAAAAATGGGCTGGACAAAAGTATTGGCACCCTTTCACAACTGCGGATAAATAAGAATGTTACAAGCATGTGATGCTCCTGTAAACTCACCTGGGGCAAGTAACAGGTGTGGGCAATATAGAAATCACACCTGAAAGCAGATAAAAAGGAGAGACGTTCACTTAACCTTTGCATTTGTGTGTCTGTCTGTGCCACACTAAGCATGGACAACAGAAAGAGGAGACGAGAACTGTCTGAGGACCTGAGAACCAAAATTGTGGCAAAATATCAACAATCTCAAGGTTACAAGTCCATCTCCAGAGAACTAGATTTGCCTTTGTCCACAGTGCGCAACATTATCAAGAAGTTTGCAACCCATGGCACTGTAGCTAATCTCCCTGGTCGTGGACGGATGAGAAAAATTGATGAAAGATTGCAACGCAGAATAGTCCGGATGGTGGATAAGCAGCCCCAAACATGTTCCAAAAGACATTCAAGCTGTCCTGCAGGCTCAGGGAGCATCAGTGTCAGCGCGAACTATCCGTCGACATTTAAATGAAATGAAACGCTATGGCAGGAGACCCAGGAGGACCCCACTGCTGACACAGAGACATAAAAAAGCAAGACTACAGTTTGCCAAAATGTACTTGAGTAAGCCAAAAGCCTTCTGGGAAAACGTCTTGTGGACAGATGAGACCAAGATAGAGCTTTTCGGTAAAGCACATCATTCTACTGTTTACCGAAAACGGAATGAGGCCTACAAAGAACAAAACACAGTACCTACGGTAAAATATGGTGGAGGTTCAATGATGTTTTGGGGTTGTTTTGCTGCCTCTGGCACTGGGTGCCTTGACTGTGTGCAAGGCATCATGAAATCTGAGGATTACCAAAGGATTTTGGGTCGCACTGTAGGGCCCCAGTGTGTCAGAAAGCTGGGTTTGCGTCCAAGATCCTGGGTCTTCCAGCAGGACAATGACCCCAAACATACGTCAAAAAGCACTCAGAAATGGATGGCAAAGAAGCGCTGGAGAGTTCTGAAGTGGCCAGCAATGAGCCCAGATCTAAATCCCATTGAACACCTGTGGAGAGATCTTAAAATTGCTGTTGGGAAAAGGTGTCCTTCCAATAAGAGAGACCTGGAGCTGTTTGCAAAGGAAGAGTGGTCCAAAATTCCGGGTGAGAGGTGTCAGAAGCTTATTGATGTTATAGGAAGCGACTGATTTCAGTTATGTTTTCCAAAGGGTGTGCAACCAAATATTAAGTTAAGGGTGCCAATACTTTTGTCCAGCCCATTTTTGGGGGTTTTGTGTGACATTATGTCATATTTGCTTTTCTGCCTCTTTTTTATATTTGTTCCAATACATACAAAGGGAATAAACATGTGTATAGCAAAACATGTGTTAATGCAATACCTTTTTTGTGTGAAATACTTGATTTTCAGGAAAAATATCAAGGGTGCCAACAATTTCGGCCATGACTGTATATATATATATATATATATATATATATATATTCAGGCTATGGATGGAAGGAAAAGATCACCCCACCGGCAAGTAAGAAGAGGGGAGCATGAGTCAGAGCAATTCCAGTGTCATCCAATACAGGTGAAGGGATGGATGCTGCTCAACCAACCGCAGGAGTCCAATGATGACGAATGGCTTCAGCTGCTGTTCTGGCCATGCCCTCACCGGGCTCCTTTGATTTTTCAGTCAAAGGACGTTGGGTGGGGGAGGGTGCCAACAGAGATCCTGGGGAACTGGGCAAAATCCCTCCTTGTATAGCCAGCCTGAGTTTGATTTGGTCAGTCAGTTGGCTTTAAAGAAACTGCCACTTTGCCCTGAATAGAGGCAAGAGCTAGTGAAGACTCGGCTGACATTGGTGCAAGCAGTGCTCACCTTCTGCGGGTCACATGACATAACCTGCAAGGTTGACCATACATGCAGTGGGGCAAAAAAGTATTTAGTCAGCCACCAATTGTGCAAGTTCTCCCACTTAAAAAGATGAGAGAGGCCTGTACTTGGCATCATAGGTAGACCTCAACTATGAGAGACAAAATGAGAAAAAAAATCCAGACAATCACATTGGCTGATTTGGAAGGAATTTATTTGCAAATTATGGTGGAAAATAAGTATTTGGTCAATATGAAAAGTTCATCTCAATACTTTGTTATATATCCTTTGTTGGCAATGACAGAGGTCAAACGTTTCCTGTAAGTCTTCACAAGGTTGGCACACACTGTTGCTGGTATGTTGGCCCATTCATCCATGCAGATCTCCTCTAGAGCAGCGATGTTTTGGGGCTGTCGCTGGGCAACACGGACTTTCAACTCCCTCCAAAGGTTTTCTATGGGGTTGAGATCTGAAGACTGGCTAGGCCACTCCAGGACCTTGAAATGCTTCTTACGAAGCCACTCCTTCGTTGCCCGGGTGGTATGTTTGAGATCATTGTCATGTTGGAAGACCCAGCCACGTTTCATCTTCAATGCCCTTGCTGATGGAAGGAGGTTTGCACTCAAAATCTCATGATATATGGCCCCATTCATTCTGTCCTGTACATGGATCAGTCGTCCTGGTCCCTTTGCGGAGAGAAACAGCCCCAAAGCATGATGTTGCCACCCCCATGCTTCACAGTAGGTATGGTGTTCTTTGGATGCCACTCAGCATTCTCTCTCCTCCAAACACGACGAGTTGTGTTTCTACCAAATCGTTCTATTTTGGTTTCATCTGACCATATGACATTCTCCCAATCCTCTTCTGGATCATCCAAATGCTCTCTAGCAGACTTCAGACGGGCCCGGACATGTACTGGCTTAAGCAGGGGGACACGTCTGGCACTGCAGGATCTGAGTCCCTGGCGGTGTAGTGTGTTACTGATGGTAGCCTTTGTTACGTTGGTCCCAGCTCTCTGCAGGTCATTCACTAGGTCCCCCGTGTGGTCCTGGGATTTTTGCTCACCGTTCTTGTGATCATTTTGACCCCACGGGGTGAGATATTGCATTCATTCCAAACTCCACAAGGCACATATGCAAACTGTTGTAATTCCTACACCGTTCACCTGATCTGGATGTAAATTCCCCTTAAATTAAAGCTGACAGTCTGCAGTTAAAGCACATCTTGTTTGTTTCATTTCAAATCCATTGTGGTGGTGTATAGAGCCACAAATGTTAGAATTGTGTAGATGTCCCAATATTTATGGACCTGACTGTATGTAGCCAGGTGCAGTTAGCCACTTTGCCACTAAATGGCACTGTACCAGAATAGTACCTGGTACAACAGGTAGTGTCACTTGGTGTTAGGCCCCTTTTAGGTAAAGTCCTCCCCCAAGTGATGTCAGGGGTGAGTCAGCACCCACATATAAGCTAGGTGGGGAGGAGACACAGTCTTGGGGCAAGGGAGCCAAACACCCCACACCTGTGAGCATATAGCTAACTCATGTAGACCCTGGACAGGGCTGGAGGCCGGGTGGGGTGGACCTGATTGCAGGAGGAACTGGCTGTAGTCATTCTGTCTTTTTAGGTGGTGGGGACTAGGGCATATTGCATAAGGCCTTGTAGGCCAGACTAGAGATCCCTGTATGAAGCTGCTTCTCTGGTGGGTTCCTGGGTGAGATGTACCCAGCTGGAAGGTGTAGAGAGGTGGAAGGTGTACAGAGAGAGCACAGTCCTGTGGGTAGTGATGACCCTGGGCAGAGGAGAGACTGTAGGGAGATGGCTGTGAGGTACTGCACGTGCTTTCACCTATGACTGCTGTGGACTGTC